AGATGCTTTCCGCAGTCGCCCGGCTAACCGTATGCGAGAACTAAAAGACAAGACATCCAAAGACGGCGAGGCCGAGAAGGAAGAAGAGAAAGAAGATCCACGCACAAAACTTCCACGCTTCCCCAGAAGTGTATTGCCCTATCTCCGAGGTCTTCGAGGCTACGGCATCCTTGATGACGAAGGTGAGGAAGAGGAGGAAGAGGCTGCAGCAGGAGCCAGCGGACCAGACGGCGATGCAAGCGCTACCGAACGCCCCAACAGACCCAAGCGAGGCAAGTCCTCATTCTTAGGTCGCAGACAGTCAAGCGTAAGTGGTTCTCAAGCTCAGGGTGCTGTCGGTGCCCTTGTAGCGAGACAGGGCAGTTTTGCTGGCGCCGCCGGTCAGCCTCTACAGGCGAAACAGAATCATCATGAACGCCAACGGAAGAAGTTGGAACAATATCTGCGAGGTCTCATGACCTACCTCATCTTCCGTCCTGACAGCAACCGCCTGTGCAAGTTCCTCGAGCTGTCTGCTCTGGGTGTCCGCCTAGCGGCTGAGGGTGGCTACCATGGCAAGGAAGGCTACATGATGATCAAATCCTCCAAAGGCGTTGACAACAGGAAAGGCTGGACCAAGCTCGCCATGATGAACCGCCACTGGCCGAAGTGGTTCCTAGTGAGACACAGCTATGTTGTTTGTGTAGACTCGCCGGAGGAGATGAACGTCTACGATGTCTTCTTGGTCGATGCCGACTTCCATCTCGATACCAAATCTGCCAGGATACGAGATAAGAAAGCCAGAGATCTTGCAAGCGAAGCAAAAGCGTCTGCGACAGGTCATCATCAGCTCAAGCTCGTTAACGCTGAACGCAAGATGAAGCTACTTGCCCGTAATGAGCGGATGCTGCATCAGTTCGAGGAATCCATCAACTTCATGTCACAGAATACATTGTGGTCCCAACGCCAGCGGTTCGACAGTTTCGCTCCAGTACGCAAGAAGATCTACGCTCAATGGCTTGTAGACGGTCGTGACTACATGTGGAATGTATCCCGAGCTATCAGTATGGCACGCGACGTCATCTACATTCACGACTGGTGGCTCAGCCCAGAGCTTTACTTGCGTCGTCCAGCTGCTATCAGCCAGAAGTGGAGGCTCGACAGACTGCTGCAGCGCAAAGCGCAGGAAGGTGTCAAGATCTTTGTGATTATGTATCGCAACATCGGCGCTGCTATTCCTATCGACTCTGAGTACTCCAAGTTCTCACTGCTAGATCTCCACCCAAACATCTTCGTCCAACGATCCCCAAACCAGATCCGCCAGAACACATTCTTCTGGTCTCATCACGAGAAGATTTGCGTAATCGATCACACTGTAGCCTTCTGTGGAGGCGTTGACCTGTGCTTTGGTCGTTGGGATACACCACAACACGTCGTCGTTGACGACAAGCCGACAGGCTTCGAGCTCGATGATACGCCCAAGGACGCCGACCACTGTCAGCTGTGGCCAGGTAAGGACTACTCCAATCCCCGTGTGCAAGACTTCTTCGCTCTCGACAAACCCTACGAGGAGATGTACGACCGATCGAGAGTCCCAAGGATGCCGTGGCACGACGTCGGAATGCAGATCGTGGGTCAACCCGCTCGTGACTTGACCCGCCATTTCGTACAGCGATGGAACTACCTCCTTCGCCAGCGCAAGCCTTCGCGACCGACACCCTTCCTCCTTCCTCCGCCTGACTTCAACCCCGCCGATATAGAAGCTCTTGGGCTTGATGGAACTTGCGAAGTTCAGATCCTACGTTCCGCCTGTGCCTGGTCTCTGGGTACACCTAACAAGGTTGAGCATAGTATCATGAACGCGTACGTGCAGATGATTGCCACATCCGAGCATTTCGTGTACATCGAGAACCAGTTCTACATCAGTAGCGGCGAAGTGCTGGGAACGAAGATTGAGAACAAGATCAACGATGCGATTGTCGACCGTATCAAGCGTGCCCATGCCAACGACGAAGACTGGAGAGCATGCATCATGCTTCCGCTGATGCCCGGATACCAAAACACTGTCGACGAACAAGAAGGCAGCAGTGTTCGTCTCATTATGACGTGCCAATACCACAGCATCTGCCGTGGTGAAGGCTCCATTTTCGGACGCTTGCGAGCTGCCGGTATCGAGCCCGAGGATTACATCAACTTCTACGCACTCCGATCGTGGGGCGAGGTTGGCCCGAACAAGATGCTGGTCACAGAGCAGTTGTACATCCATGCGAAGATCATGGTAGTCGATGACCGAGTTGCCATCATCGGGTCCGCAAACATCAACGAGCGTTCTATGTTGGGATCACGCGACTCTGAAATCGCTGCCGTCATCCGCGATACTGAGCTACTTGATTCGTATATGGGTGGCCAGCCATACAAGGTGGGCAAGTTTCCGCACACGTTGCGTATGCGTCTCATGCGGGAGCACTTGGGTGTCGATGTTGACTGCATCTCTGAAGAGGAGATGCTCAGCCAGATGTCTGATGATGCCGATAGCGTCGGTTTCCAGACAGAATCATCTGGTCCAGGATCCCCAACGGCTCAGCGCGCAACTGAACAGAAGCTAGAAGAGAACAACTACAAGATGCAGGATGAGCTCATCCAGAAGGCAGAAAAGCTACACAGCTTCAACCATGACTTCGACTGGGCGCAGGACCAAAACCCTCATCTGCAAAGTACCAAGAAGCCATCGGCGGATTCTCGTGTGCAACACAACACGGCGCATACCAAAGATGTTCGTGGCGAGGGCGCTGATCATATGTTGGAAGCCGAGCAGGTCCGACCGATCATAACGCAAGCCAGAGATTCCTACATCGACGAGCATGGTCATGAGAAACTCGTTACGGATATCGCTGCTGAAGGTGCTGCAGCTATACCCAGGAAGAGTGCGACACTCAAGACGCGCAAGCGCAGTGGTACCACCGGCACCAGGGCCAGCAACGTCAGCGCACAGACTGACGGAACTGGCTATGCTGGCCTCCCACCTCCTAAGCTACCTCGCATGGACACGTTCAAGCTAGGTTTGACACAGCTCAGCCAGTTGCCTGCGTTGCCAATTTCGGATGACACGGACATCGGCGGCCCGCCTGCTCTACAACGAACCTTTAGCCAGGGTTCCTCTTCCGTCATCAACCCTCTTCTCTCGGAAATGCGTCGACCTGTCGTGACTGAAGACTGCATGCGCGATCCCATCAACGACACCTTCTTCCTCGACACTTGGCATCAAATTGCAGAGAACAACACCAAGCTCTTCCGCCAAGTCTTCCGCTGCATGCCAGACAACGAAGTCCGAACATGGAAGGAGTACCAGGAGTACGCTGCATTCTCGGAACGTTTCACCAAATCTCAGGGTGGAGACAAGAGCCAAATGCACAAGCAGCAGGATGCCCCGGGTACGACTGGACCGCCCGGCACTGGTCTCACGAGCAAGTTCACCTCGACTGCTGGTACTGTCGGCAAGCAGGTTGGCGCTCTAGGCGAGAAGCTCACCGAGAAGATGACGAACAACTCGGACAGAGTCAACGGCGAGAACGTCCATGGAACAACCCACCACTCGAGCATGGGCGGTGTAGAGCAATGGGCCGATGACCAAGAGAAGCGCGTACAATCCCAAAGCCCGCCTCCCCCCGCTACACGCGGTCTACACCTCGACACTGCATCCGGCACAACACTGAATGAGAAGCTAGCCCCCGAGCCCGCCGACGACGCCGTAGTCTCTCCCATGAATCCCGCTCCTCCAGAGAAGACCTTCACCTTCCCCGCTCCACCGCCCGTCCCCAACGAGAGCGCACACACCGACTTCGCATCGCACTCGCAAAACCCACCTCCAACATCGCACTCCAACCGCGAACGTTCTCAACGCGTCACTATCTCTGAACCGCCCATCCACCCTAACGCGCTGCCCCAGAACCAGAACTCGAACAACACGCCCAACCGCTCTAATACCAAGCGTTCCCGTCGCCGCGCCACGACAAAGTCGTCAAACAGGCAGTTCAACGCTACAGACGCGGATATCATGCTAGACAAAGAGGATGCGAAGCGGCTGTTAGAACTGGTCCAGGGCCATATTGTGCTTTGGCCATATGACTGGTTGGAGAGTGAAGAGAGAGGTGGCGGGTGGTTGTACAATGTCGATCAGATTGCGCCGTTGGAGATTTAGTAAGTTTGCACTGTCCCCTCTACTTTTATGGCATCTCGTACTGACAGTTCCTGCAGTAATTAATCTCCAGACGCATTCGCTGTAGGGCTGCGCAGCAGCGGCGTGAATGCCGTGATATACCATGGCGAGTCGTGAAGCTTGCATATTGGAGTTTAGGATCATGGTCCCCACTTTTGTCGCTTCTCTCTCGTTGTCGTTCCATTTGTTGAGTTTCCTGTCATCGTTGGTGTATTGTTGGAGGGGATAGGGATGGGAAAGAAAGCATTACACTGGCGTTTTTTCGCGTCCCGCACTTGCACTTCGCTGTTGCATATACAAAGTCTTTCTCTCGTCATTGACAAATTTCTCCTTTTGTGTCGCGTTTCCTTCCCTTTTACCATTACATCCGGTAGAAGTGGGCTATTCTTCACATCGTTTCGTTTGACTTGGCTAGTAATATAGTAATACATATAGACACGGTTCCACCTCATTGATGGAAGATTTTGACATTTCTGCAGCCTACATCAAGAAAGCAACATGCAAAGGGTGTGACGCAAGGTCAAAGTAGGCTCTAAAGTGTTCAGCTTTTTCCTTGGATGGGGTGGTTCCAAGATTGTATTCAGATAAACTCTGGACACATCGATGTTTTTTTCATGTCTTTTCTAGCGGAGAGCCAGGGTAGCCTTTTTGTTTCTTCTAAGTACATGCGAGAGCGCTGTACACTATCCAATCCATCCCTCATTCATCTCAAGCCAATGGCAAAATGAGCATCTCATCATTCAAATACCCAGAAGCTACCCATTCCCTCGAATCCTCCAGTACACACAAACTGAGCTCAAGCCAATCAACCGTCGCTTCTGAGCTTCCTCTTAGACTTGACTTTATTCTCCTCTTCCATCGCAGACGCTTGGCGCGTCTTGCGTACAGAAGGCTGCTTAGCCGGCTTGGGAGCCGCTTTGGACTTTGCTGGCGCTTTGGCCTTCGGAGCAGGTTTGGCTGGTGCAGGTGCGGACGCACTAGGAACGTTGGCAGTTTTCTTCGCCTGTCGTGTTAGGGGAGGCGTGAACCCAAACTTGTTCTTGGCGGGGCCGGCTTTGAGAGCGATGCTGCGAGCTGGGGTGGTGGTGGCGCGAGACCTGGTTTGGCGGATGGTGTGGCCACCGAGCATCAGAGGCTTGTTCTTGAGCTCCGGATTCTTGGATGGCGGGGGAGTGTCGCTGTCTTCGGCAGACGCTTCGATGGTTTCTCGTGCATCCTCGGAATCATCGTCGTCGTCTTCAACGGCGTTTTCAGGGTCGCCGTTGATCTTGTGAGCATCATAGTCGCCTTCAGGCTCGTCCAAGATGCTCTGCTTAGTGGTTCTTCTGAGGGGCCTCGGGGGAGTGGGCACGTCCACCTCTGGGCTAGGTCCTTTAGTATCGATCTTTGGCTCGGGGAATAGCAACAGTAGTTCAGACTCTTCCTGTTCCTTAGACTTGGTCTTTCCCTCCTTCTTGGGCGAAGCATTGCGTCTTCTGGTAGCACGAGTAGCGGGGATTTTCTTCATCTGCCCTGGAGCTGCTGGACCGTTCTTCGCTCTCGCAGCTTTCGCTGGAGTAGCCTTAGGCTTTGGTGCAGGACGTTTGGGTGCCTTGGTAGTGGTATCAGGGACGCCCAAGTCTCCAAAGAGATCAACAGAGTCAGCGTCACTGACTGGAACAGTTGCCGAGTTTGCAGGAGCTGGCATACTTGACATGAGTTCGCCTAGAGCCTCGGGCTTATGCGGTGGAAACAGCTTACGCGATATAGGCTTTGCCTTTGACGGGTGTTGTCTGTACGACGTTGAAGTAAGGCCCCGAAGTTCACGTTTTGAGACTGACGGTCTCGACATCGGTGTACCTAGAACGATTTCAGCGGCGGGTGTTTGCTTGCTAGGTGTTGCCGGATTCTCGACGTCGCTGAAGTGCTCGTCCATGTCGGCACTGTCGCCTCCCTGGTCAGATTGAGCACTGATGATGGCATCATCAGATTCAACTACGATGGGTGCTTTCGCAGATGATCCGGTATGTTTCATTGCACCTCCATGCTTGGTTGATACAGTCGGTTCGTTGTTGACAACATTCACATGAGCAGCCTCTTTCTTCGATTTGGCCGTAGTACGTCTACCCGTAGCTGGCGGTGGCGTAGATTCGTCTTCCTGATCTTTGGGGGCTTTGCTAGGCTTCTTGTTTGCAGCTTTGATAGTACGTGCCTTAGCAATGGAAGCGATATTAGCCTTCCGCTTTTTCTTGACCGGACCGTCTGAGTCACTCTCGGAAACGCTCGTTGTGTTCTTGGACGCTTTCGATCGCTTATGGTGGTGAACAGGCTGGGTTTCTGGTTCAGGTACTTCTGTTGTAGAACCAACGTCTTCGGTAGTATCCATATTGTGGGCAAACGATACATTTTCCATTTGATCTTCTTCGGGAATGGCTGGCGCATTGGTACTGTCATCGACGTCGGGTACAGTGGTGCTGTCTGCAATCGTAGTATCTGGCTCTGCGTCGGATGGGGCTGGAGACTTGGACAGCCCATGAGCTAGTTTCGCCGCACTTGCGTTCTCTTCATCCGCGGGCACTTCAGCAGGCGAGATCTGAGATTTCTCATGACGTACTTCGTCTTCAGACGGGAAGGGCAGGGGCGGTAAGGCCACATTGCTTTCCAACTGCAGCTCCGACGTCGAACCCGCAAATAATGGACTTGCTTCTCCAGCTGCGATCTCCAGAGATTTTCTAATCGATGGATCGCTATGATCAAGATTCTTTGAGGGCAAATGTTCGGAGGGAACGCTAGGCAGTGAGTCGGCGGCCGCATCCCGCAACTGCGCTTGCCATGGTCCTTCAACATCCTCTTCGACACGCGAGAGTGCCTCAGGCGATCTTGGGCTTAACGAGTCACCCTCAGTGATCATGGAAGAATCTGGTAGAACGGAAGTTGTGAGTTCAGACGTGACTTCCGGCGCCTTGTCAGCTTTCAAGTGTGCCGGAGAGTCTCGCACTTCAGGAAGCGCTTCTGGCGGCAATCGCAGAGGTTCGGTAGCAGGTCCAATTTGCATCGCGGAGCCTTCATCGAGCTGCTCTTCATTATCCAAACGATCTTTCTGCGTCTGGATTCGGCTTAATGCTTCCAAAGCACTTTGAATAGCTTCTTCATCGTATTCACTACCAGGATTATGCGGCGTCTGTTGTACTTCATCTGAGGTTGCGTACGATTTTAGCTGCATCGACAAGCCCGTCCGTGGCTTTTGGGAAGCTATGTCGACCTGTGAAGAGTTTTCCAGATTTGACTTGTGCACCACGAGGCTGTCATGCCTTGAAGAAGCCGATGCAAGGGGGATCGTTGATGCCTCCGCAGCCTTGTCATCTTCTGAGCCAGAACAAGATTGCAACTCGGAAAGCATGTTACCGTCGGCATCATGGAGGACTGGTATAGGGTAAGTTTCAACAGGCCCCTCTTCGGCAGCCACGTTATCTTGCGTCTGAGGGCCGATGTTCAAGCGCTCGGTTTCAGCAACGATGGTGAGGTCGTCGATATCCATGAGATCCGGGACTTCGGCATGCTTCTCATCGATCGCTGGCAGACCGGATTCTACTTTCTCGGTAACATGTGGAAGTATGTTCGTATGCGAAGCCGTCTTTTCGCGTTCCGGGGTAAGCTTGGAGGCTGGCGACATAGAGGGTGTGTGTTCCGCGCTTGTCTTGGATTCTGTGGGAACGATTGCGGTTCCATCAGACAGTGGGGCTTTGTTCGGTTTTTTGACAGAAAGTTCGGGTTGGGTGGTCGGCGAATCTACCTTCTCAGAGGGATTTGGGGGTTCGCGATCGACGAGGCCCGCATCCTGACCTTGGTCATGCAAGCACTGAGTATCGGCGCCACTGGTAACTTCAACCTCTTCCTGGCCGTGGCTCTTGTTTGACTGCTCACTACCGTTTACCTCATCCTCTTTATCGCTTGCCCAATCGAAATTCTCAATCTCGTGCAGACCGTCTTCCCACGTATCCGTATATGAACTGTCCGCGTAGTAATCCGGTGGGTGTTGCTGGCCTTCGATGCGACCATCCGTGTGCACGTGTTGCGCATCGTTCGTGTAACCCAGCTCTTCCATGGACCAAGAAGCCACCACCTCAGCCTCCAACATCTCGTAACCGACCAACTCTCCATACAAGTCGGGACCATAGGCGGTACAAGAGGGCAGGCTTGGGTCGTCAAAGCGTGCGGGAGGCTCGATCGGATCGTATTCGAAATCCATGTCGTGGGCGGGGGAGTAGATACGCATCTCTGTTGTCTAAGCAAACTGATCCAAAAGAGGCAATCGTGCAAACAGTCTTTTGTTGACGTGTAGCTCTTTGCTCTTCGGCGCGTCCAAAGGCGGCGATTGTCGGGGGTAGAGACCGGCGCACGTATCCGCTATTCTTTCATGACCAAGTGATACCTGCGTGCACGCGTATCTCTCAAGTGGTGAGGGGATGGGGTTGAGAGGGCGCCGCTGCAGGTGGGTGAGATAATTGAGTGTTGGAGCCGTGCGTAGTCGCTGGTTCTAGCTCGCTTCCGAATTAGGTTTTTGTAAGTGAAAGAGTCTTAGCGAACAGTCCTATTGAGGAGCATAAAGGTGACATGTCGACAAGTAAGTGTTACCGGGATCTGTTGTAGTAGTCTGTGTACGGTAATCTGTGTACTGTAATCTGTTGTAGTAATCTGTTAACCGTAATCTGTTAACTGTAATCTGCAAACAGTAGTCTATAAACCGTAATGTTAGTAGGGTGATTTTAGTAGAGTAATTTTAGTAGGGTAATGTTGGTAGAGTAATGTTAGTAGATTAATGCTGGTAGAGTAACGTTTGACGTGAACCACCAAGTTCAACTCACGTCTGAGTGTGTCGGTCCCTACTAACGATGCCCTACTTTTTTTCTCACCATGAACTTCACCGCAGAAAGCTTAAACTCATGTACGAATGTATTATAACGCGTAAAGATCCAGTCGCTGGTGGGTATCATGTTCAAGCCGCCAGCTCTTCACCAGTTCTCCAATCCTTGCTAAGCCAAATCTGATAGTGTGTGCGAAATGAAGCGCCAAAAAGCGTAGGTCGTATAGGAAGTCGCGGAGGTCTCGTCGGATAAGTCAAGGTTCGTCATATCGGTATCGCATTGCTGATAGCATTGCCCGTGTCCACGGGTAAAGCCAGTACACTGCTGCGGTCAGTATCAAGTTCAAGAATGCGCCCAGGAGACTTACCTCTTTCCAGCGTCAGTCGCGCAACAGCAGCAGAGAAGCGATGCTGGCCAACAGAAGATCTGGGAAACATGAGCGGATTGTCGCGCGTATGTGGGGAATCTAGGGAAGCCGTACAGCCATGCCGACTGTGACTACGAAGCCAATCGTAGGTCCAATAACCTTACAATGACATGGGTTCTGATCGCTATTTGTGGGCGTGTGGTTAGTAAAGGCATGAACGTTCAGCTCGCGAATTACTTACGTTCCGCACTGGATGCACAGCGGGAGAGGGACGAAGTCGCACATGTTGACAAGAGGAGGATGACAGAGACGCTACGATTGGAATCGCTTGTTTGGAAATACGGGATGCGGTGCTGCAAGTCGCTGAGGGGATGCAGTGGACAATAAAGATGTTGGAAGTAGGAAGGCTGACAGGAAGTCGCGATGCTTGTTGTCGCGCTAGTGTCGTCATCGGGCTTCGATTCGCGATCGCCGGGAGACACGCGTCAGCCGCAATGCGCTTCTTCAATTCGATCCTCTGCATTCACCAACAAGGCTTGCCCTGAATCTGACCTAGCTAACGTAGCTATTTACAAGATGCGTTTTTGCAAACCTGATACCGGAGTATGTTCCAGGCCAGTAGATGGCAGCTGTCTGGTACCTGCCAGTCTACTCGGAGGCCGGAGATGACGACGCAGATTCCTAGTAAACACCGCCTCCTACTACGTGACATAGTCCATCGTACTGCTTGTGTCTTCGGTTGAGTCACAGGAGGTCGTTACGAACGCGCCAAATGAAGGAATACACTCTGAAACGTTGTTTGTCGCGAATTGGGATATTAGGCGGACAGTCGTCAACGCCGCAATCAGCCATCAGTCCTCCATCTCTTCCCGTATCAGCTCTACCTCGACCGTCCTTTGGCCCGTTTGGATCTTGCCCTTCAGTCCATCGTTGTATTTGTCGAAGCAGAGTCTCCATAGGCCCGGCTCGCCTTCACTCTCAACGGCGATAAAGCCCTCCCAGTTCTCGAAGGTGTAGCGCTTCTCTCCGTTTGAGCCGACGCGAGCGTCGAAAGGCCCAGCCTGCCCCTCCTCCGCGTCAACGCGTAGTCCATGGCTAAACTGGTAAATGTCGGATTCGGTATCCAGATAGACCCAATTGAGCTGCGGCGGGTTATCTGAGATCGTAGATACGATGCCTTCGTAATCTTTCTTTGGGAAAGGAAGGTAATACCCGGTGAAAGGATGATGCGTCGGTCCTTCGTATGTTGATAGCTGGACGTACAATCTGCCGCCGCATAGTACAATTCGACTGTTCTTGAACAAATCCTTGCGATCTTCCGGCGTTCTCATGGTCGCTCGACATCGCATGTGACATTTCTCGCCTTTCCAGTCGTCGTCCTCCTCCTCAGCCTCTTTCTTTGCGTTTTCCGTTTGACTTTGCAGGGTTAGAACGGATGTTGCGGTCATAGGGACCGTTCCCACGAGAGCCAGGAGGCCGAACACCATTTTTCAGTCTTTTGATACAGAGACGGTACGTTGGGATACTTTCAAGGTTGTGTTTAGGTACAAAGCGTAACATGTGCTAACTGGTGAGGTAGCACATGCGGTGCGTCGGAAACCCTACATCACGACGCGACAAAAAGCAATAGATCACAATCGCACTTCATGCATCTCGCGTAAAAGCCCATGACGAAAGTCAAGGCGATCATCATGTGGCTGCATGAGCAAAGTTACAAAGCCAATCAAGCAGTAGTGCGCGGCTAACTTCCGGTATCCGCTCCACTTAGTTCCAGATGATCGACAGATCAATAGTGAATGCCGGGGCCAATGACGAACAACAAGCCTCATATGGCTGATCCTTGGAACTCATGAGTTGTGAGTCCACTTTGGGACAGAGGCTATAACCTCATTGAGGAATTGTAGTCGAAGCTATAGCATTAGCCGGTTGCTTTACTCATCTCCTGCATTAGAACTATAGGCAAGCTCGACTCGCAGGCAATGCCATAGCCAATTCAGCACTCATGCGCGCGAAGATCACCTCGCCGACCCGTCGATCGATGATGTACCTGCGGCTGATAGATGCGGGAGCTTCGGACATGTCCGTCCAGCACCTTCGATCGAGAAGTTTATCAACCGAGACTTGCTCGCATAACCCATCGGAATCTACTCCTTCAAATCCTCACTACCAACACTTTGAGTTCTGGCGTGGTCAGCACAACTCCCGCATCGCAGGAAAGCGAAGATACCGCATTTGACTATACCTCCACCGCACCCCCAACTCACACCACCGCAAACACCGGACTCCGAAACCGCACCAGAATCTGAATTCAAGATGGCGGACGCGACTAAGAAGTACGCTAGTCTCATCCGCAATACCTCTTGTCATGCCATATCTAACATATTCATAGCCTCACCGACACGGCCAACAATGCCACCGGCGGCCGCGACGGCGGACCTGGTGATACCCTTGGCAAACTAGGCAGCGCCACCAGCGCTGTAGCACCGAAGAACAAGAATAAGAAGAAGAAAGGTGGCAATGGCAACAACGAAGAGGAAGACGAAGAGACCACCGAGGGATTCGGTCTCGACAATGGATCGGATGTGAAGGGTAGCTTGAAGGTGCATATCAAGTTGGACCTAGAAGCGGATATCAAGGTCTACGCGAGGATTAGGGGAGACATCGCGATTGGTATTTTGTAAGATAGAATGGCCCCAAAATCCGAATAGCATATTGTGTGTCAAGTTCTGGGTCGTGACAGTCAGACATTGATATTTTGTCTCGAGTCCTGATCGCAAGTAACTCGACGTGTTTGTTGCTTCATGCCATGTGTCCGAGCTATTGGAAAGGTGACATGATTGAATTCGTGATGCTGAGGTGCTGAAGGGCGTACTCTCTAGATGTGAGATGGATGCCCCGGTCTACTTGACCTTTCCTGCCTCGGCTAGAAGCGCTGGACCCTGAACGTCAGGCTGCATACCAAAAATATGCTGAGAGTCATCCACCATGTCGCCAAACAATGCGCCGGCCGCTACCCCACGCCTTTCCAGAGTTCCAACAGTCGCTACATCGATTATTCTGCTCACGGCGCGACTTCCACAAGCTCTCGAGGGTTCCGCGACGCGTACAAGTGCGGATCGCGTATGGGAAGAAAGGCAACATGGCGGGGTATGAAGACTGGTCGCAACAGCAGTTGATTGCAAGGATACAAGAATTAGAGAAGCAAGTCGGAGGGAATACCCAAGGCGCGACTGAAGAGAAGTCCCCGGTGCCTACGAACGAGCAGATATCACCACCTCCAGACTCGCCACAGTCATTAGCCTTTCGCAGAGCCAACAAGCCGCCACCGAAGGCGTTCGATGCCTCGAGATACAGCACGCGGTTGATCGCACTGAAATTTGCATATCTGGGGCAAAAGTACAATGGATTTGAGCATCACAATAACAACACCACGCCATTACCTACAATCGAGGAAGAAGTCTGGAAGGCGCTGATCAAGACGCGGTTGATAAGTCCTATACCTACGGAAGGTGACGAGAGAAGATATGAAAGAATCGATAGAAAGACCTTTGCAAAATGGGATAGGGAAGGTGCGGATGTAAACTGGGATGGCTGCGAATACTCCAAGTGTGGAAGAACAGATCGGGGTGTCAGTGCTTTTGGGCAGGTCATTGGGGTGAGGGTTAGAAGTAACAAGCCCAAACCTGTAGAAAAGATGGGAGGCGAGGAGGAAGTGGACAACGAAGAATCATTGCCTTCTTCAAACGATACCCAGACCATCCCATCAAAGCCGTTCAACGATCTCACCGACGAACTACCATACATCCAGCTTCTAAACCGCGTCCTTCCTCCCGACATTCGCGTTTACGCGTGGTGCCCCAACCCACCAGAAGACTTTAGTGCACGCTTCTCTTGCAAAGAACGACGGTACAAGTACTTCTTCACCAACCCTTGCTTCGCACCTGTGCCCGGCTCCTCTGGTCTATACAAACCCAGCGCATATGGTGCCACCACGGCAGATGACCAAGAAACGATGCGCGAAGGCTGGCTCGACATCGACGCCAT